TCCATAAGATCTTCAATTCTTTCTTTACAGGTAAAATCTTTTCTTTTATTTCATTAGTTTGTTTTTCAAGGTCATTTTTTAATTTTTCAATTTCCTCTTTATCCTTTTCTATTGTTTTTGATAATTGGTTGTACCTTCGTTGTTTACTTTCAATTTTTTCTTTTTCATCTTTAATCTTCTTTTCCATTTCTTTAATTTCTTTTTCATTTCGAAGAACTGCTTTTTCGTTTTGTTTCTTTTCTTCTTCAGCTCTTGCCTTTTTCTTCTTAGCGCTATTAACCAAACTCTTTTGTGTTTCATACTCTTTTTCAATCTTTTTTATATCTTTTCCTTTTTCTTCAATAACCTTATCTTTAGCTGTCTTTTCTATCAGCTTTTCATTTTTTATATTTTGAATGACTTTTCGTTTTTTTTCTAATTTTTCACGCTCTTCTTTACTTTCTACTTCTTTCTCTTCAACTGATTTTAACTCTTGTTTATTTAAACTATTCTTTAATCCACACATTTTATATTCTTCTTTTAAGTATGAAATAGCATTCTCTTTTTCTTTTAATATTCCATTTCGTTCTCGTTCAATAATTTTAAATCTATTTGTTTTTTCATGTACTTCATCATTTAATTTTTCAAGTTCTGATGTCCCTTTTTCAATTTCTTCGATATACTGAGATGTACCAATAATGTCTTCAAGAAATTCAAGCATTCCATCTTCTCCATTTTTAGATCTTGCTGGCATTAAAGCAATTCTTTCTACTTCACCTTGTAAAATAAGGAATCTGTTATTTAATAAATCAAACCCTTTAGACTTCATCTTCTCAAGAACTGCATCAAACTTACATACCACTCCATCAATCATAAATTTTGAAGTCCCATCTCTGAAAACTGTTCGAGTAACTGTAAATCGTGTATCAGGTAGATAAGATCCTTCTGTATCAACACTAATAAGATGGACATCAACTCTTGCTTCAGTACAATTTGGATGAAGAGCAGACTTATGAATGAGATCTACCACTTTCTGTTGACGTATTTGTTTTGCCCTTCTTCCAAATACAAATAATAAACCATCAATTACATTTGACTTTCCACATCCATTAGCACCAACAATTGCTGTAAATGATTCATGAAATGGACCAAGTTCAACTTTATCATAATATGATTTAAAATTATAGAACGTCATCTTTTCAATTATCATTCTACTCGTTTGATTCACTTCCTCCATCTTTCAAAACTGTTCTCTAAAAATTATAGTTTTTCACTTTTCTTCTTTTTTTTGACTAAATAATTTATTTGTTATATATAACATTTTATTGATATTTTTATTCTTTCAAGTTCTCTATGAGTGAGCGGTGAATTAAAATAATTGAAGATAACCTCTTCACTTTATTGATTTCATTTAAATTGAATACACCATATATTAAACAAAGCGATAGATATACTGAATTATTTAATAAAATATATGCAACTTTAATGAGAAGTTTGTTATTAAGGAATTGAAGTATGAGTGATTTTTTTATTTGAATGAAATAAGTTTTTATTATTATAAAGGTATGAGTTAATTATTTTTTATTTTTTTCTCATAACACTTTTTTATTTTTTTTATAAAAAAGTATATTAAAAACAAAAGAATGATGAAAAAGTTAAATTCAGAACTTGTTTTTACTTTTTGAAAGTTCTTCCTGAAGCAGTTTTCTTTTCAACTTCTCTTTCTGGTTTAGCTCTATTCAAAACAAGTTGTAAGTGAGAAACTTTGTTTCTCATTCTAATGTGTAAGAAAGCTTTGCTACATTTAATATGGAAATTGATATAATTTCGGCATGACATTAAAATTTCGAGAGTCTTTTGTGGATTATTCAAGTGTCTCTTTTCTAATAAAAATGAAATATAGCAGTTGTCTTCAGCAAGTCCTTCAACAGTTTTGAGTTCTGAAGGTGGTGGACTATTCTTTCTTGTAACAACATCACATGATGGACAACCTGGTGCACTTTTAGAGAATTCATTAATAAAGACACGACCGAACACAGCATCATCTCTATCATCAAATTTAATTGAAAATATTACAGTTAAACGATCACCATTTGGTTTAAGCCAATAAGATTCTCCTGGTCTATAATCAATTTGAATTAATTTTTCAGCAGCTTTATTATTCTTAACTTCATCAGCAAGAACAACAGCTGGTCCAATTAACATATTAGTTAATAATTTAGCAGCACTCATTGCAAATTCTTCTGGTTTATCATGTTTTTCAGGGATAGTTAAAATAAGATTATATTCAGAGTTGCTGTCTGCTTCAACAAGATCAGCTCCATATACTTTTTGTAAGAATTCCATTGCTCTATTCTCTTTTAATTGATTCCAGCATGGAGTTGCTACAGAGATAGTCATCTTTTCTTTTGTCCTTTCGATAAACCAGATTGATTGATTAAAATCAGCTAGTTTTTCTTTTAATCCCTTTTTAATTCCACCTTCAGTAGTTAATTTCTCAAGAACTCTAGCATATACAATACGGTTATATGATTCAAGAAGCAAGTTTGGTGCCATTATTGTTCTCTGATTAATTAGTTCAAGAACGTTTTTGAGTTGTTTTCATTTTTTAAGATTCTTTCTTTTGAAAAAAATAAAAAGTACAATTGAAAGGGGAAATTATAAGTTTAATTTTATTTGATTATTTGGTTGATAATTATAATAAAAATTCAGGAAAAATGAAAAATATTTTTTAGAAAAAGAAAATGATTAGTTTTAATCATATGTATTATTTGAGATGAAGGAGTTATTTAGACATATATGGAAAGAAATAGAGGTTTGATATCTTTGGTGATAGTGATGTCTCTAAAGAAAGTTAGTTGAATAACATATTTTTTTGTTTATAGTTATTATTTTTTTACTGTTCTTTGTATCTTCAAATAATTTAATTTAACTAAACAAAGAAAGAAATCAAAAAAGATAAGTCTATTTGATATAAATTAGGTCAGGAAGAAATAAAAATGAAAGACAGGTAGAAGAAAGGTACTCTTATGAGAAATTAAGTGTAATGTATTTGTTCCACTGTTGTTTAGAAGAAGAATAAGAATATTATTAACAAAATTATCTTCTAACAAACCTTAGTCCAAATTGGTCAGCAGTGTAATTTACAGTTGTTAATAAATAGTGATGAGTTTTATTAAAGAGATAATAATAAGATATAGTGTAGCTGAAGCAAAGAATAAATAAATTTAATTGTATTAATTTATTAAAAACAAAGATGATATCAACAATTGCTAAAAAATCAAGGGACATGTGATTTGTTAAGACAAATAAATTAACCAAGAAGTTAAATGAACCCAATTAATTTGATGATAATGCTCATTTTTTTGATAAGAGAAAGTAAGAAGTTTTATACATGAAAAAATTGAATTAATCAAAATCACTTAATTAAGCATTAATAAATTTATTACCCATTCTTCCTTGTGCCACAGAAACTAATCCTCTACCATGACGCCGACATAATTTTTAAATAGAAGATTTTTGATTTTTTTATTTTTATTTCTTATTTTTTGTTTATTATTCTTGTTTTTGTTCATTTATTTCTTATTCTTTGTTTCTTTATTTTTCATCTTGATGTTGTTATCATTATTGTTATATATTTATTATCACTCTCTGTTTTTCTATTTTTCTGTGTTAAATTTCTTATTAAATTGATTTTAGAGTGTTATTTTGTATTGTTATTCTTGTTGTGTGTTATTTATCTTTTTCTATTTGTTCTTATTGTTTTCATTTTATGTTATTTGGTGTTTGTTTTGATTTTTCTCTTCGTCTCTTTCTTCATTTTATACAACTGTCTCAGTGAATTCGGATGATATCATCATTACCTCATTTCTCCATCATTTCTACTTGTTATTTTACTTTTGTTATTCATCATCATTCATTAATTATTTTCATTAATTGATTGAAATTATTGAATACTTTGATTTGTTTTTCTTTTCATTGTTATTTTGTGATTTATCACTATTTTTGATGAGTTATTTTGTTATTTTCTTGTTTTTATTATTGTCATTTAAAACAATAATAATATATTGATGTTTATTATAACAATAAATAAAATAATGTTTTATAAACGTGTATTTATTTATTTAATCATCTGATTTTGATATTATATTCATTAAATTAAAATAGAAGAATTAATAAACAAGAACATTCTGTTGTATAAAGAAGTAGAAACATTTCCAAATATTCAACAATCAATTGATGTTATTATTAAACATTATCATTATTATTTAGGATGTATTAAAAATCAAATATTTGAAATAAAACCAGACGAAACATATTCAGAAGCTATTAAAAGAGGAGAAGGAATATTTGATAGAATAGATGAAATAATTAGAAGAAGAATAGTAATAGAAAAAAGTCAAGAAACAATTCAAACAATAGAAATAATTAAAAATAAAATGAACAAAATAATAGAAGAATGTAATTCTGATGAAGAAGAAAGAAGAAAAGAAGAAGAAGAAAAAGAAATGAAGAGAAAAGAGGAAGAAGAAAAGAAGAAGAATATCCAATATACTATTTGATTCAGATATTGATGATTGGAATAAGAATACACTAGTATTTGAACAAAGAATAATAAATAAAGAACATATAATAATTATTATTGAAGATACAAATGGAAATAAATTTGGAGGATATGTTAATATGAAAATGATAAAGTTGGTGATTATATAAAAGATCCAAAATCATTTTTATTTTCATTAAAATCAAATGGGAGAATATAAGGAATGATGAAATTTGATATTAAATATTAACAATATGCATTTTATTTTTATAGTCAATCAAGTGATTATTTGTTTGAATTTGGATTAGATGATATTTGTGTTTATAAAGAAAATTATAAAACATTATCATATTGTAAACAATGTTCATATGAATATAAAGGAATATCAAATGCACTTTATGGAAAACAACATCCAGAATATTTCACACCACAACGAATTATTGTAATTGAAATGAAATGATTTTTATTCATTAATATTTATTTGAAATATAAAAATAAAAAAGAATATAAAATAAAATCAATAAATGAATATGAACATTTCATTTATCAATGAATGAAATAATGAATATAAAAATGTTCATATTTCATTCTTGTTTTATTTAATTTGAAATAATCATATTCAATGTGTTAATTTAATAAATAATCAAAAGAAATAAAAATAAAATATAAATAAAAATATAATAAAATATTTATTTTATTCTTTTTTATTTATTTTTTATTTTATTTATATTATTTTATATTTATTTATTTTATTCTTCTTCTTTTATCTTTATATCTATTATATATTTCTTATTTTATTATTTATGTTATATTCTTATATCATTTTATTCTTATTTTATATTTATTCATTATTATTCATTTCATATTAACATTGTTAAATATCAATACAACATATAATAAATAAATGATATAAGATAAACAACAATGATAATTAAAAATTAATAAATTAAGTATAGATCTTGTTTATCTAATTCATGGTAGTTAAGATTACATTATTCACTCTCTTCAGAGTCTTGTCCATGAGGTACTTCTATATCTCTATATTCACTTCCAGGTTATCCACAGTATTTCATTATGTCTTTCATGTTTTTAATTATTATATCTTTTACTATTATTTTATATTGAATTATTGTACTTTGTTCTATTATCATTTTTACTGATTCTATATTGATTAATCTATTTATTGTTATTACCACTGCAATTACTTTCATTTTAGTTTATTAATTTGTCTTATTTTTTAAGGAGAGTTCTATACATTTCAAGTTTGTTAGTAAATGCTAGAATTATCTTCTTATCACATACTATTATCATATCATTTATTATTCATATTTGTTTTAATTTATCTTCTATATAAATATCTTGTATTTTATGAAATATTCAATTTTATTAACTATTTCTTGGTTCAATAATATGAATACTTCATTATTTTTAATTCTTCTTTTGAATTTACCAATTTCATTTTTATTAATATTAATTTCATTTTATTCTCTTTTATTTTCTTCTCTATTTCATTATAATTTATTATATTTATTTTATATTTTAATTTATCACATCCAAATATATATATTCATTATTAAATCATTTTTATCAATTTGTACATTCTTATTTACAATATAATTTAATAACATATGTTCATTTGATGATATTTTATTATTATAAATACTACACCACTTTAAATTATTATTTCATGTAATTAATGATTTCTTAATTTATATAAATGTACCAATTTCTTGAATTAATTTTAATTATTTATATTAATTTCTTTTTATATTAATATGCATCATTATTCTACTCCTTAATTTCATATCATTCATTTCATTTTCAATTTATTTTATTAAATGAATATTTACATTATTTAATTTAATTTATTAATATGTATTTCATTAAATTTATTATTTAAATATTTTATTATTATAGATAATTCATTCTTATTTTGTAACAATAAATGTATTTCATTATTTTCATTTTTATTAATTCTTTTATCACATGTTTTATAAAATTTCTTCCAAATTCATTTCTTATTCATTTTCATCATTTCTCTTATTTCATTATCTTCAATTTATAATACATTTTTATTTTATAAATTCTAATTCATATCATCTCTTAATGACATTAATCAATCTCATATTTTATCTTTATTAATATATAATCTTTACTTAATGATTTTGAGTTGATATTTGCATCTTGAATCTTCTTTGTAATGTACAGATCAATTTTATCTAATTTATTGATTGGTCAATGGATCACAGATGCAGCATATCTGAAAATATTGATGAATTCATATTAATTATATTGATGTAATTTCTATTACTTTCATTCAATTTATTGATGATATCTATGTTATCTATCATTCATTTTATATTCTATTAATTTATTTTTCGTCATCATTCTTCTCATATTTGAATACACAATGATATTTGTATGAATTGGAGTCATCTACAACTATGATTTCAATCATATTATCATTGATTGTAATATTTTATTTTATATTACTCAACTTTTTTAACATTTACTTCAATTCCTATTCATTTAATTACATTAATAATATTTTATTTGGATACTTCAATTACTTTATGCGAATCACACATGATTTTTAAATCATCAATTTATAAAATATGACCTACTTTGATTGAATTAATATCAATATCATTTAATTATCTGATATGATATTTTGTTAGATAATAAATAACAAATGATGGAATCGCCTTGTAATACCTCACATTTTAATTTAATATACTCTAAATTCTTATTATTATTATATATCTCATCTTAATACACAATCTATTGCACATACATTCAATCAAATTTGATATTGTATTATTAATATTAAAATATTTTAGTGAATTATTATCCATTGATGATTCACATTCATATGCATTTTATATCATAGAATATCTCATTGAATTTTTTCTTTTTTAGATTCCATTTCTTGCGTTCTTAGATAACTTTTAATGATGCATTCTTTTGCTGATAATCACCTTTCTTTACATAATATTTGATTTTTATCTATTTT